AAATGTCATAGTATAGTATGTCATAAAATTACATAGTATAGTATGTCAAAAATTTGTATAAAAATGTCATAGTATAGTATGTCATAAAAATGTCACAGTATAGTATGTCATAAAATGACAGTATCGTATGTCATAAAAATTTGTATAAAAATGTCATAGTATAGTATGTCATAAAAATTTGTATAAAAATGTCATAGTATAGTATGTCATAAAATTACATAGTATAGTATGTCCAAAAATTTGTATAAAAATGTCATAGTATAGTATGTCCAAATGTCATAGTATAGTATGTCATAAAATTACACAGTATAGTATGTCAAAAATTTGTATAAAAATGTCATAGTATAGTTTGTCATAAAAATGTCATAGTATGTCAAAAAAAAGTTTAAAAATGTCATAGTATAATATGTCATTAAAATGTCATAGTATAGTATGTCATAAAAAATATTATCATATAGTATGTTATAAAATGTCATTGTAAAATATGCCATAAAAATGTCATTGTATAGTTTGTCATAAAAATGTCATAGTATAGTATGTCATAAAAATGTTTTTCATAGGATAGTGTGTAATAAACACCTATGGGCAATTTAGAATTACCAATTAACCTGTATATCTTTGGATGGAGGGAGAAAGCAGGAGAAGGAGGAGGGTCCCACCCGCCACGATGACACAGGAAGAACATGCAAACTCCACACAGAGGGGGCCTAGCCAGCCGGCAGGTTTGTACCCAGAAGATGACAGTGCTAACCACTGTTCCACCGTGCCACCCCATCATAGTATAGTATATCATAAAAATGTTATAAAAATGTCCTAGTACAGTATGTCATAAACTATGATATGTGCAATTCAACCTGTTGAGAAGTGCTGAATAACACTGTTCACAGTGCAGTGCACATGTAAAGTGGAGAAAGAAAGTGCAGGAAGACATGACGAATGTGGAAAATGAGAAGGAGATTTAGCTCTCTCTCATTCCTCAGTAAGAAATTCTAAAAGCCAGAAAGTCATCAGATTTAACCCTCAGTTCTGTCTTCTTATTGCCCTCTCTTTTCACACCATCTCTTCCTCTCTCTCTTCCCATCCCCTCTTCTCCCTCACTCTTTTCTTTATCCGCTTTCATTTTCTTTAGTGATTTCTGCTTAGAAGGTCGCTTTCAAGTGCTCTCTCTCTCTCTGACACATCAAGAAGTGCTACTTGCTGAAGCCAATCTGTTGAACTGACAGCCTTTTTATTCCTCCTCCGCCTCTCTAAATGGTATTTTGATTTCCTCTTTTCTTCCTGTCCTCCGTCAGGCTTTGTCTCTTATTTTTCGAACCCCTCCACCTTTTCTTCTTTCCAACCTTTCTTCCCCCCTCTTCTCTCCTCCCATCTGTCATATTTTCTTCTCTCCTTTCCTCGTCTTTTCCTTCTCTCCTTCTTGCTGCCTTCTTCTTTTGATCCTGTTCTTGTTCTCTTTGAGTCCACTGTTCCTATTTCTTTCCTTATATGTTTTATTGTCTTTAACCATCTGTGCTCAGAGAGTTCACAGAACTGTACTTTTAAAATCTTTTTAAATGCTGTTTTTAATATATTCCAGGGCATGTTTTGTGTTTTTATCCTTTTTATCAAATGTTATTTCACTTAATTTTAGTTTTGTGTTGTATTTGTTGGTGTACAGCAGGCAGTGCTGGAAACAGCCTGCTGAAATGTCTTACTCATGCTGCTAAATAACCCTGTGCATTTCAAGAGTCCATGCTCTCTGCTGTTTAAAACCAGCAGCAGATTATTGCGCTGTCTCTGCTGGAGTTGTCTGTCTGAAGTGGCAACATGTTGTTAAGTGCTCTGTTGATAACAGTAATAGCCTTTTAAGTACCACATTCAAGTGGTTTAAAGTGGTAATGTGCTATTCTGATGTGTCCTGTTCATTTAAACTGTTTCTCTGCACTCATGAGAAAATTAACTTTTATGAAGATTAAAATAACAATGTATTTGACTGAACCCTGAAGGGAAAAGAAACTAAATGTACGCTAATAAAGAAACTTCTCATTTGACTAAAAAAAAAAAGTTATTTCTCTAGCTTGCATTCCTCTCTTTATCTGCAGCTCCTTGTGATGGGTGATAAGAGAAGTTGGTGCAAAATAATAGCTTTCAGGTGGTTTTACCTCACTGAGCATCATTAAAATATCACGTGTCCCTAGCCACTGACAGAGGATCAAGTTTTAGACATGACAACAGCTACTGTATTGTGCAGACCAGCACGATCAGTTATCGTGTTTTTGAGATTTTCATTACTTTAAAACTGAGGAGGATGGTGGTTAAATGCAGCAAGGAAAAGCCTCCTTTTTGTGTTGGAGTTTTATTAAACACACACATGCACACAAGCAGGCACACACACATACACATCTGAATAATTAGATGGTTAATCCCACTTGAGCTTCTCATAAGAAAGGTCATCGCGGTGCCATGTCAAATGGCGACACACAGCACTGTCACTAATTCTGGTGCAGCGTGCGTGTGTGTGTGTGTGTTGTGTTTGTGGTGACTCTGCAGTAGGCCTGGGCTGCAGCTGTCGTCCAAGTCAGATTGTGTTACATCCTACCACACAGCTGACAGCACACACAAACACAGTCGGCATCCTGCATGTGTGTCACAGTTTCCCTGCCATTGAATTGGAGTGGTGAGTCACCTTGTTTTTAAGCTACTAACCCTGAAAGAATTTAATACATATTCGTTTCAATTGAGAGTTTTACAACTGATATGAAAGTAATTATTACATGAGATCACTTCTTTGAAAAAGCTTCAAACCAAGAAAACAATTTGGAAGAATTAGATAAAGAGTAAAACCTACTTAAAGGGATTCACACACTAAAAATCGATGTAGAAAATGCAGTTATCCTTCATAACTGAATAACTGTATTCACGCCGAGTCAAAGACTAGCTCCCAATGATTCAAACAAGATCTTTAGTCATGTTCTCTTGTGTGTATTAAAGCCACAGAGCAAGGTGTCTTTAAATTTTCAGATTTCTCCACGGAGTTTGGTTTTATGTTTTTTTCTGATTCAATACATGGATTTATGTTTTACACGCATCTACATCTACATTTACATCCTGTATCTCAGGAACAAAGAGAGAGGCACTCTGCTGCTGAGGCACACACACACACTAACACACCATGATGACAACGCCAAGTGTCAGCTGAACAGAACAAGGACTTGTCTGCCGGCTAATAATGCTGAGCTGTCAGCAACACTCACACACACTCTCTCACACTCAAGCCACTTCAGATCTAACCTCTCCTTGACCTGAGCAGCAAAGCCATGGGGAGAAAGAAAGGAGGGGAAAGGTAGGAACACACAATGGTTGATAAATACCAGCTGCTACCATTAAAACACTGGTGAACTCACTGGTAAGTTTGGAGACCAGCATTAATTCTTCTCTGTATAAAAATCTAGTGAGCTGCTACTGTAAAAAGTGGTCTGGAAAAGAGCATACACGACCACAGATACACACACATACCCATGTCATCTGCTCAAAGTTTCCTTTCCCAAGGCACAAACATTGGAAAACACTCACGATTTGTCTCTGCGGTGTGTGAAGCGTCGCTGGGGACTGCTCTGCCGTCGCCTTGGTGATAAGGATTTCCCCCGGCTCCGCTCCTTGATTGGTGACTGCGCACTGGATGATTTAAGGATCTAAGAAAATCACACAAAGAACAGTCAATATCACTATGTTGTGACAATTTACACTTCAGTTTGTATTCTAAGTATTTATCTGACTGACACTGATACAGAGCAAAGCCAGCTTTGTATCATAACGATGTGAGTAGCATGTGTAAATGAACTGTTTAACTTCCCTCAATCTTGCCAGTGCCCAGATCTCCCTGCTCATTTGCCAAAATCTGGATTTCCACTGGCTCGTATTGCCTATATCTTGCCTAAAATGTCTTCAGAGACATTTTGGTGCACCACTTAGCTGTAATACAATAGTTTGTGAACAGAAAGAGAACTACATACTGTTTCCTGTATTGTGAAAAACAGAGGCTGAAAACAAAAAAAGAAATCAAACAGTAAAACTAGACAGTGCTGACCAAATATGACCCAGGATTCTGTTAGTATGTTTACTTAGGGAACATATTTTAGCTTCCTGTTTAACTGTAATTTCAGATAATTTGTTGCCAGCTGGCCATCATATTGTTTTTCAGGGGAGCAACTCAGATTACATCACCCACTAACAGGAGCCTCTATTGGTCCGGGGTGGCACAGCGCATTCTGGTAGTTATAGGTTTTCTACTTCTTGACCAAAGCAAATACCACAGCCCTTTCCTTCTGTTTTCTCTGGTCATGTAGCACCAATTTCAAAAGTATTTGCATCTTTCTACTGCATAGACAGCCCAGGTTTGTGAGAAGACCATCTTTCCAGCGTTGAAATACTTCTTTAAGTATATACAGTAGGGCTGCCCCCTTCATTGGTCGACTACAAACATGACGTATCATCTGAAACATGGAAGTAGCTACATGCCCATTAGCCACTTAGCACAATCATTACTGCTTTGTCGACAGTGTCATTAACAGACGGCTCGCTCAGTGTGTGACGTGCACTTGTAGATAAAATATAGGCCTATTTAATGAAGGTTCATTAGTACGGTTTTGTATTTCTCTGTAATGTAGCACAGTGTTAACAATGTTACTGATACTATTCTTTCTCACACCTTGAACTCAAACCATTGTGTTCCCCCACCCGAAATATATGACTAAATTATTGAATTAATATCGTAAACATGCCAGCAACTACTCGACTAATGGCCCTAAATGACGACTATTGGTTGACTAGGAAAATTCTTAGTCGGGGGCAGCCCTAATATATAGTCAACAAAATGTCTTATTGTGATAAAATGCCAATCACAAGTCTCATAGCCCAAGGTGTCATCTTCAAATTACTTGTTTTGTCTGCTCAACAGTGCAAAACCCAAATGGATTCAGTTTTAATGATATACAACAGAAAAAGGCAGCAAATCCTCACACTTGTCAGTCAACTCATTGATTAATGGACCAATCATTTCAGTTCGACATGGCTGATTTGAGAGTCTGTGTTAACAAACAGATGGACCAATCTGCCAAAAAAAACACTCATGGGATCATTCACCCAGTGAAAACGCAGGATACATGCTGCTTTTCTATTTACACCCTGCTACACCCTCACATTTCAACGTACAGAAACTATGCTAGCATGACTCCAACAACCACTGCTGTTACTCAGCTGCAGGGCAGAAAATGCAACCATGACGAATGGGACCCCAGAACAACAATCCCACTATGGACATACATGCTTGTGTGGGTGATTTGTTTTTCTTTTTTAATCTCACTCAATCTTGACAAACTGCTGTGGCAAATGAATCATGGAGAAAACACAATTTAAAGCTACACATAAGGCATTTCATATGTGTGCGTGTGTGTAATAAACAGTAACTTGAAGCTATCATTAAGAACTCAGCAGGTGAGGAAAACTGCAGGATGAACACGGATGGCAAGTTTTCCCGGACAAAGCAAAAGCCAGGAAATGGCTCATATTCCACAGCTGGTCACGTTAGTCATGTGGCTCTGATAGATGAGTCTCAGTGTCTGTGTGTGTGTGTGTGTGTGTGTGTGTGTTTGTTTCCTACCTCACATATCCTACAGCCTTTTTGAGAATCATGCTTTAACATGACTTAAATGTTTCTATTTTTTGAACCATGAAACTTTATATCAAGTCCTTGATGCAGAAGGGTGTGTGTGTTACTGTGAGTTTACACATTTTACATCTTGTGAGGACCATCAGTGACCTACTGTAGTGCATTCCATAGCCTGTAACATAAACCTAATTTTGACCTTAACCCTAAAACAGCCCTTGGAAGAAGAAAGAGGAACAAACTAGATAATCTCACTGTCAAAGTCCAAAACTCAGCTGGGTCCTTATAAAAATAGATGCACATGGGCACACACACACACACACACACACACACACACACACACACACACACACACACACACACACAAAAAAAAGTCTATACTAAATTCACATTCTCTGGAGTACAACAGAGATTATACTAAAGCCATACGAACCACAACACAGCTGACCAGAGTCTGACTGTGTGTCTGTGTTTTCATGTGCATGTGTGTGTGTGTGACAGCTGCAAACTCGCTGACCTACATATCTCGCTGACATGCAATGCAGTCCATACACCACTATCCAACATCATCATCTCGCATGCAACCACACACATACACCCAGAACCTCAACCATCACCTTCGTGGAATTGCATGTGGTGTGGGAAATATGGAAAAATGTGAAAAGAAAACAAAAAGCCAACCCGTAGAAACTGAAAATAAAAACCCCGGGGTTCGCAAAGCATTTAACCTCAAACAAACCCACTTCTCGGCGTCTCCTCCTCTTCCTCACACACACACACATACTCGCACATTCCTTCCTTCCCCATCATGCCCTAAATAATTCCTGACAGTTTATATTCCATGTTCAGCAAGAGGGAAACTACATCCATCTCTGGTCTCATGGAAAAAAGTAATAAAGGTGTTTCCCCTGTTCAGTTTCAAAAGGAAAAAAAAAAGTCCAGGAGGGTTTTTTTTCTGAGTTTAGCTGCCTGGATCATCAGAACACAAGACAATGTGCTGTTTCAACTTAAAGTCTATGTAAACAGAGGCACTGAGATTAGAAATGACTGCTGACTACATCAGGGTTATAATGTTGGAGATGATATTAAAAAAAAGTAAAAAGTAAACTATAAATGTAACTTTGTGAGAGAAGTGTTGTGGCTGAGCAGCGGCACTGGTTACGGTATCAACTTGTCTCAGCTGAATAAATCAAATCAGATATTTTAATTCAGTTTGGATCTATCAATCAAATACATTACATGTGACCATTAATAGTAACTGTGTACATCAAGATTGTGTGTTTTTATTCACACTGACATTTCACTACTTTTAAAAGGTCATGTTTGCCCCTCCTTGATCTGATTTTGAGAGGCATTTTGCTTTCTTGTATTCCACTATGAAATTACACGTCTGTATTGGATTTTGGCAAATAAACTCCCCATTGGTTGAACCACTAAGAACTGTTTTACTTCTGTCCCACTGCTGGGAGCTGGCCAATGAATCCCAAAAGGTCCATTTTCACCCTGCTGTCTTCAGTTGTTACCATATTTGTTGATTTGTTTTGTGGTTTGAGTGCAGTCTGTATTTTCTTCTGCCTCTGGCTACAGTGAGCCAAGTTTCTTCTCCTGCCTCAGGCTGCACACTTACTCTCAAACAACACTGAGGCTCAAATAGGATACTGTTATTTATCAGGGGAATTTAACTTTTATTTCACTGATATTTTTTGTATCTACCTGGACACTTTTGTCTTGAGTACACATTCATTTCTGAGCCTGGTATATCCATTTCTCTTGTGAGAAATATTATGTAAATGATATAGTTTGATTAACACAGCTGGTTTGTAGGAAACCCATAACCTTAAACTTACTGATAAAACCTTTTTATGAGGTTCTGAACATTAAGCATCATCAAGTGTTTGGTGTTCTTATCTTTATGATGACTTCAGTGAAAAAAATAAAGAGGAAAACACTTAATTGTTGATTGATTTTTTTTCAATTGTAATTGTCAAATTTTAAGTTTTTGGAATAAACTAGAATGAGATATTGAGTTCACAAGAAAGAGACACACATGGTCACAGTGACCTTGGCCTTTAACCTATGACCACCAGAGTATAATCAGTTCATTCATGAGTCCAAGTGGACGTTTGTGCCAAATTTGAATACATTGCCTCAAAGCGTTCTTGGTATATCGCAATCACAAGAATGAGACGGATGGAGGGATGGACAACCCGAAAACATAATGCCTCTGGCCACGCTTTTTGCTGGTGCACAGGCATAAAATCTGTATTAAAATCAAATCAAACCCTAAAGTGTACAGCATGTCTGTGTGCATACAGTATGTACCTTCATCCTCATATCTCGGCCGTGTTTCTCCAGTTCCTTCCTCATCTCCTGGGCTCCCAGTCGTGCAGCGTTCAGCACCAAATGCTTCCACTCAATCGGCTGAAAGACGTGGGGGTCGTGAGGCACATACAGGCCGATCTTCACCTGGGAGAAGCAGGGTTTAAAATCAATTAATGATTCTACCACCCTTCCACCTACATAACACATCTTCATCCCTCCGTCTCTATTCTTACCTTCTTCAGAGTGTGCTGGTATCTTTTGTAGGAGCTCTCAAACTCAGCTACAAGTTCTCCCAGTGTGCGGTGTGTCAGCGGTTTGTCCATCAGGTCCTGCCGGCGGCTCATGCCAAGTGACCCATAGCGGCCGTTGCAGTAGATGCCCAGTACAACATGGTGGAAGCAGTGGCCAGAAAACTGGGTCTTAAAGCTGATGGGGAAACGCTCGAGAGACGTCAGCCCGTTGGTCAGGTAGCTGGTTAACACAGTTAAGAAAGGATCTCAAGGGCATTATTTTGCTTCATGTCGTCTGGAGTTCTATTTTTCGATTTATTAGATGAACTAATCTAGATGCACTCTGACCGCACTGCTGGAGCTGCACATTTGACTACAGACCTGAAATAAAAAACAACATCTGAGTGCAAAACCCAAGAGTTAAAGTGAAAGTGTATTTGTTTTGATTTCTCACAGCAGAGGCAGCACAGCAGCTTGACTCATGTGAAATTAGATTCAGTCTGACTCTCAGAAGGCCAATACTATGAAAATGCCACGGGGTAAACAATAGCTCTGTGACTGCCAAAGTTTGTGCAGCTCCCCTTGTCTGACTAAATGTGACTAGAAAAACAAACTGAGAGACAGATGAGCTATCTGGTACCATCAGAAACCTGAGGAGATGATGACACATGTTCAGGGTATGTGTGTGTGGCTGACCTTGTGACTCACTCACAGGAGATATAGTGCAATATGTGCACCTCTTGACCTTTGACCTTCTCATTCCGAATTCTTACCCATCCATATAGTTTCTACTTCTCTTTCTAATCTTCTTTCCTCTCTGTCCTTTCCTCCTTTTCTACTCTGCTGCTCCTGATGCCTTCAAATCCAACAATCCAGGTTCACACCGATTTCAAAATGTGGAAGACTCAATTATTAGTAAAATATTTAACTGAGCCCAATCTCTGTCTGACATAGCGCAGAACTGATAGGGTAACATTCAACTCAACAGAAAGTTAATAATTCTTCAGTGGTGGAAAAACATGTTTGTAACAACAACATATGAAAACTGAATGAGGTCTATATTTAGTCAGCTCTCATGCTGTGGACTGCACAGCTTCGTAGAGAGCTCAACACTGACAGGGATCCAACTGTAGCAATCTGTGCAAACACAAACACACACACACAAACACACACACACACACACACACACACACACACACACACACACACACAGATCTGGACAGTATCTTTGTCGGCCAGTGGCCAACCATCTGCTCTGTTCTGTCCACGGAGGCCTGTCATTGGCCAGTGTGCCTGCCCGTCACCTCAGCAGCCTGGATGCCACAGCACTGCTGTGTTTTCATTAAATATTCACTAAGGGCCATCAACACAACTAGACCACTGATCACACACACACATACCAGTGTGTATCAGCATGACTGTGTGCTGTAGGGAAGCTCACAGCATTAAAGCAGAACAGGCCTGGCCTACTGTATGAAGAAACCAGATCTTCACAGTTGGGTGTTCTTAAGCAAGACATTGAATCCCTTCCTGCTGAGCTAATAACAGTTTCTATATTCTGTATGTTGTCTTAAAGACTAAATCTATATATAAAATGCTCGGACAAGAACTTTCTTAAAATATGATTGTCTAAGACAGCAAAAGAGATTAATTATACTTTGAAAGGCTAAAAAAGACATGCATACAAACAAACAAACACACACACGGTTTCATTAACTGCAATGGCGATAAGTCAACTGCAGCTATCATTATACTCTTCTTCATCTTAATAACAGAAGCAAAAAGGCTGTGCATTAACTGTGTAGACACAAAACACACCCTGTTCCTTTCTAATGAATAGTTCATTAAACAAACACACTTCCTGTGATGGAGGACATGTGATGCTGCTAAAAGTACATCTCTCTCTCTCTCTCTCTCTCTCCCTTTTGGTTGTCATAGAGACCACTACGAGAGCTGTCAGTTTTAACACGGCCGATGAGTACAGCATCCTTCTCTCTTTCTAACACTCACCTTATTGCTTTGAAATTAAAGTTATAATAATCCTAGAGTCAGCTCTATCTATGCATCCATCCATCCAATCTCAACCTGACAGCAGACTGGCTTTAATACTCTCTTAGGCTTCAAATACTGTATTTCACTGTGTTATGTCTGGGAGGCAGAGGTAAGTGAGACGCCTTATCTATGGATATAATGCAGAGCTAATCCAGTGGGTTTTTAAATTCACTTTCTCTGTCTCTTTCTCCCTCATGCGTCCTTCCCCCTCTCCTCCTCGAGTTTCTCTCCACATTCCCTTCCTCGCTACATTTCAAAGCAGCGAGATTTAAGATAAGAAAATACAGGAAAAGGCATAAAATCCTCTTTATGTATGGTGCCATTTTACGTAGAACCATGTGCTTGCCTCATCTTCATCACAAGCAAACTCTAGTTCTTTGAGTTTCAGTAGGAGCTCGGGAATTGGTCTTGAAATATGGTATGGTTTGTGGACACTGGAGTCTGGAGCTGTTCTCATGCATTGTATTAGGCCTCAGTTTCAGTTAGGGGAGGTATTAATGCTACAGTGCACAATGATATTTTAAGCGGTACCATAAAGTTCAGTTTGGTACGCTTTTTTTCCGTTTCCACTATGAAAAGTTATGGATGGTTCCAATGGAACTGCTCCATACTGTCCCCATTTTTGGTCACCCCTCTGTTGGGGTACCTAGCACACAGATCTAGGAGTTTTATTTTCAGCAATTACATATGGGTTTAATGTCCAGGTGTCCACATACTTTTGGCCATGTAGTTTGTCTAAAAGTTTTTTGGAAAAGTTCCTGCTCTGATTATTATTCAACTCGAGGCTGCTTTGTGCTCTAGCCTTGTTCTGCAAAACACTGCTCGGTGATGGCTGATCCGATGAGACACAGAGTCAAACACACACACATAGTGAACACACAAACCCACACAAAGAGCTGGTGTGACCCAAGATACACCCTGAATATCCTGGAGAGAATTCAGATCACTGTTAACCAGGAAGGGAAAAAACAGCGGCGGAGGACAAACTGGACCCAGACACAAAGACAAGGAGACAGACAGCTCCAACTGCCACAAGCAACAACAGTTGCTGCTCATCCCTCTTGCTTTTCTATCCTAACTGTCTGTCCCTATCTACTCCTATCCTCTCCTAACACTGTCTCACTTTTTATTATCAGTGACACAGTGTTCTGATATATAATTTATTTAGAACAATCATATCTGACTGCAATTTTTGGACATTTTAAACTTACTCTGGAGCCCAGTGAGGAATGAGCAAACATTAAAGTCACTGATAGAGTCAACAGGTTAGGTCACGTTGATGTCACATTGCCTTAACAATACCTGGTATGTAAACAGGGTGTGTCCCCACCTGTCATTAACATTTCAAATACTGGTCATCTGCCAGCAATGTACATGTAAGGCCTCATAGCTCAGTGGTTAGAGCACTGGTCTTGTAAACCAGGGGTCGCGAGTTCAATTCTCGCTGGGGCCTGGGTCCTTTTACAGAGGATGACCTCAGCGCCCCCTGAAAGGTGACACTGCACAAACACGCTGTCCCTTGCTGATATAAATGCAACAGTATGACTTTATATAAAGGGCACAAAGCAGCAGAAGAAGATCTCACACCATTAGATTGCCTTGTCTGTTCCTCACCCCGTCCTTTTTCTCACTCCCTCTGGCTCACATGTCCCCTCTTTCCTTCTCCTTTATGTGATTTTTCTGTCGACTTCGTGCTGCTTTCTCTATTTCCCTCCCTCTCTCCTCCTTTCATCTAGAGGCTAAAGCCAGTCTCGATTAAAGTCACTGTCAGCTGCCACCCTGTCAGCCACAGGAGGAAAGCTACCGTGAAACTAGCACATGTGAAACTGGACTATGCATTCGCAGAGACACTGAGAAATCTCTCATGTGTTGACATGCCAAAGTCCTCAGAAATCTGTTACACCAAGCTGTGTACACTACATACCGCATATTAGCTCCTCTACTTCAATGTGGGTGATTATGTCTGGACAGAGTCTTGTATCCTGTTGAAAAGGTGTTGATAATGCACTACAGATCTTTGCCTCTGTCTCCAAAGCTGTTTAGAGCAGTCTTTGGTTGCAGTTGTATTATATGGTTGTATTTTATTCTTCAAACTAAACTACAACCTTTGAATCTGCCCACTCCACTGAGTTGCTATAAGCCATATCAAGACATTATCGCTAATAGCATCCACTGATTTGTTAAATGGGCCTTTGTAGTCAAACCAGAGCTTCAGTACTTGTTCACAAGTGAATAATCAGGCACAGTTTCTAATTTTAAACTGCAGCTGACCACATCATTTAAATGCTGAAGCAGTTGCAGAAATTACAGACTGCTGCTTTAATATTTAAGCCCTGCCGGATGATACTAAGCTTTGTGAATTGTGTGTGTATGTGTATGGTGGTAGGGGGGTTAAACTTTGAAGAGGGCTTGTTGCCAGGCAACACTGTTCAGTAAGAGCTGGAGAGGGTGGCAGTGGTGGGGAGGCATTAGGACATTAGAGCAACGCGTCTCATTGATTTCACCCAGAGATAACAAAATAACCTCCTGGTCCACTGCTTGGTATGTGTGTGTGTGTGTGTCAGGTAGTAAAGGATACATTCCCAGGATGACGGCTTCCAGACATTTGATTGGCAAAGACTCTCTGATCATCTCTCTTGCTGTCTCCATTAACCTGGAGGAGGAGAAGGATGAGGAAGAGGAAGGGGAAGGAAGAGGATGAGTGGTAGGAGGAGGGGGAGCAGAGCACAGGCAAAGGAAAAGGAAAAGAGGAGGAGGAGGAGAGGCAAAAGGGCAGTGAGAAGATGAATAGAAAGAGAAAAAGAAAAACAAGGGATCAGTGGACAACAAAAGGGGGATAAGAGCAAGAGGAGGAAGAGGGTGAAGGCATAGACGAAAGAGAGAAGGGGGGGGGGATGCAGAGATAGAACTGTTATTTTCACAGTCATTTATATTTTAAAAGTAATGGGAAAACTATAGATACTTTTGTTCGCTTGTACCATTCAGCCAGATTTCTTTCAGTTTTACAAATGTGTGTATGAAAAAGTCAAAGTAAATTGTGCAACAGGTTTTAATGTTAAAACAGAGAGTTTGTTCCCTAGATTCATTCTGCTCCAGCACCTTTAATCAAACTAACTTATCGGCTATCATTAGTTACATCGACTAGACTATTGTGTGCATGCAGAACTGTTCATATCACTGTTCAGATAGTTAGACAATGTCATCAGTGTGTCCACATTATAACCTGATTACTGGAAGTAATCAGGTTAAGCTGAGGACTTGATGAAAGAATTCAAATAGTGACCTCACCTCTTCAATAAGCCAGCCTTACATGAGTGGTTGTTGTTTGTGAGCTGAGCCCATTAATGCAAGTCAAAGAATATAGGCAGTACTAAATTCTTCAAACTCGAGGCACATTTAACTCATAAACTGTAATAAAACTAAGGCTGCAGTTCACTTACCCACACAGTGGACGGCTCTTCTTGATTTCAAAGAATTGGGTTCCTGTGTGGTTGTATCTGATGGAAATGTTAGGGACAGCACAAGCTTTCATTGTTGTTTATCCATTTCTCTACTATTGACTGATATGCACCTGAAGCTGGTGTCACTCTGGTGTCTCAATGAGTTATGTGTGGAAAGATCTAATGCCATGAGACACAGACAGCCTAACTTCACCTGACAGGTGTAGCTCTCATCATGACATCTGTTTTCACGCCGCAAAGTGTGTTGCAATGCAATGTACTGTTGTATTTGTGGTAAAGGATACTGCAGAGCCTTCATGTAGTTCTGGATGGCCACAAGCCAATCTGGAACCGACATGGACGGTTTGAAGGTCGGGACTGAGGGAACGGAATGCTGCAGAGAGAAGGGAGAGAGATTATTGTCTCAAAGCAAAAATCAACATGTGGTAACATTCAGAATCCCAAAACCACCTCCCAGCATCTTTATAAATCTGTCTTCTCAATGTCCCATGACTAATAACAGCACGTACAGCTCAGTCAAGTGGCAACCACTGAGGCTGAAAAAAGCAAATGCCCAAGTGCCAAAAATTGCAGTTCTTTGAATGGCCACTTGAGGCTGGCTCCAAAAGCCAGTCACCCCCATCGACCCCCATGTGAAAATGCTCAATTTTACAACAGAAATTAACATGTTTACAGCCTGGAACAACAAAACATTTTGATCTCTTTTATAACTTTGTCCTTCATGACAACTGTACCAGGGTTGAATTTTCATATAACTCACTATTTACATTTTATTACGGCTTTAAGTTACACATAATTAAGGACATGGCCGCTTTGAGTAACAGGTGGGTGTCGACCATTGAAAAGTAGCTAACATGGCAATAGTGTGTTGGAAACGTAATCATGACGTGACCCCAGATTCAGAGTATAGGTCTAGCCATAGCAGTAGCTGTCAGTGCATCAAAGTTAATTTTATCATTTTGGTTGCCCGAAAAAGTCTTGTTCAGCATTTAATTTTACTTATAGACCCTCTATACCAGATATGCAGCTTTTCTAGGAATTGCATTTTCTTTTGATAGTCAGAATTCTATTTTTTGGCTAGAAAAAATTAGCATTGGCATTATCACAGTTAACAATAGCTGTAAATGCACCGTGCTAACCAAGCTAGCAGCTTGTGTTCAGGTTAGCCCCAACCTCTCGTCCAAATATGCTCACTTCTGGTTCCACAAATCTGTGATGGTGACAGCCAAAATTCTACACTCAAGGCTTTAAAATAGGAGTCAACAAACCATGGGTGGTGTCAAGGTGGATACCTCTATTCTTTTATACAGTCTATGAGCTTGACACTTGTTCCAACACTGCTGGGAAAAAACGTATACTGGCACAACCATTTATACTACTCACACATTAAAGTACATTCAAATTAAATCTGCATTGCTAAATCTATTTAAACAAGAGTGACAGGAGTACAACTCATTACTTTTTACAATCCACTAACAATCATCATGTCTGCTTAGAGTAATTTATTAGCTACTATTGCTAAACAAATGAAAGCCTTAGTCTTGGTTGTTGGTGGATCTATTTAATTAAACACTTAAAGTTTAGTATTCAGTGTTTCTGAGAGCTGACACAGATGCCATCAGGCTTATGTTTACATTTTTACAGAAAGTAGAAAAATTTCTTCCTCCATTAAAATGTTGTTTTTGTCAGGATCAAAAATTCCACAATAATGAAGTTATTTCTACAGCGACTATAACCGCTGTTACCACGAGTGGTAGTTGCGGCAGTAGCAGTGCTTCTAGCATTCTGTACAAAGAGATGTATTTGCATAAGACAGCTGACTGTGAGCCGCCACAGGAAATAATATGATAAAGGGACAGATGACACGTGACATTGCCTCTACCCCAGAACGTTGGGGTTATGCGGTGCACACCACCTTAGACCGCTGGGCCAACAGACACCCATATTGTGATAAGAGAGGCCTGTGGTGAGAATGAAACCATGCTGCTCTTTCTAAAGTCGTTTCACCTCAACAAGACCCATCTCAGACAGAAAACTGAGGTCACAGATGTGGCTTCGTGAAAGGACCATGACCGCACCATTAGAGAGTGAGTCAAACTTAAACACAAAAGGAGACTTCCTCTGACACACAGGCAGCCTGTGTGTGTGTGTGTGTGTGTGTGTGTGTGTGTGTAACTGTGTGTGTGTATGCAGGAAGGGTGAACTATAGCTGCAGCCCTATCATTTCCTGTGGGTTTTTGCTTCACTGTTTATTTACAGCATGAGAACGGAGCTGAGAAGGAAGACATCACAACAAAATGGAGGGTGAGCCCTGATGAATTGTTGTTGTTTTTCTTTTTCAAAAATCACTGGGATCCTGGTATAAAACTGGGGCACATGAGATCCATGAAACCAGTTGTAAAATGACTCTTTTTACACATCTCCAAAAACATATTCATGGACAAAGATGTTTTATATGGATGTAAACAAGAGACATATGAATTTGAATTTTAATAGCCACTGAAAACTTAATCTTGAAATGTAAACACCATTGCATTCATATCATTGAACTGTTACTTTGAAAACCATGTGTCTAAATGTAATGTTCTGAATTCACCTCTTTGAAATTAAAATATAAAATTTCGTGATTTGACAAATACAGATTTCACAAATACAGATCCAAAAACTCAAGATTCAGAATTTAAAAAAAAAAAGAAAAAAGAAAAAAGAAGAACCAAAAACAGATTTAGGTTGCTCACATTTGATTGGTCAAATTCAAATCTTAAAATACAAGTTGAAAAAAATTAAATTGCAACACCTGGGCTACACAGAACAGGATAAGTTTGACAGAGTCAAGCCTAAATGTTTTGACCAATCAAATCTGACAGATGTTCTTTTCTTTTTTTTAACCTTTTCAACTTGAACTTTTAGATCTGAATTTGACAAATCAAATTTGAGCAACCCTGAATCTAATTTTTTAAATTCTGAAATTAGAATTCTTAGATCTGAATTTGCGAACACTAGAATTAAAAAACAAATCAAATTTACCTTTGGAAATTTCAAATCAATAAATTTTATATCACAATTTTGAAGAGATAAATTTAGAAAAAATAAATTCAGATACAAAACTCACAATGAGAACCATATAAGGGATTTCATCAGCAGTCAGCCATTCAGACATTCACCACATTAGACTATCAAGTTACTTAGCCAATAAAGCAGTTGTTAGCCACGCAACCACTTATTTAATACAAACAGTAGATTAGCCTTCAAACCTGATTCAAGACTGACCAGTCAACCTGCCAGTCAGTCAGTAAAACAATCACCAACTTGTCAGTCTACTAGCTGTCAGGCCAGTAGGCAGTCATTCAGTCCAAAAACCAGTCTGCCAGCCATCAAAGACCAGTAAATAGCAGGTTATACAGCCACATAATCTCTCATGTATTAAAATCCTCACTAAGGTGTAACACACTGGCTGCATCAGCTGACACACAGACACTTTAAAGCTGCTTTCTGCTGGGTCAGGGAGTGAGATGACTGGTGATCCCTCACTTTTATCATCCTCTCCGCTCTTCCCTCGGCTGGAGAGGAATGTCAGTTAGAAAGAGGTGCCGTCTTTCGGCTGTCACCATCACAGTCTGTGTAGAACTTCCATACAGAAAGGCTACATTTTAAATGCAGTAAGATGAAGTTACAGATGAAGTTACAACTGGATTCACATTTTGCTAAATATTTACAACACAACCACTGCGCCAGAGAGAAATATAGCATGACAAACTGCAGTATTTTAGCTGTCCAAAACCCCCAAAAACTGTTGAGAGCATCTCTGGTGAAAAGCCAGCACTATGCCTTAAAAAAACTGATGTTCCCTGAAAATTTGGTTACAGCTGTCGTCGTCTTTCATATCCAAACTGTGTGTAACTTCCACACAAGTTGGCGTTCATATGAGGAGTCACATATTTAGGTGCAGTGTAAGCGTAGCCTACATCACCCTAGGAAACAGAGGCTGCTAAAGCGTCAGTGATGTGTGTAATTCCTCCTCTCCTTAAGAGTTCAGCTGGAAGAGCATCACTTCATAGTCCCAGTTTAGACTGGTGTTTATCTGGCTCTACCTCCCTTCCTGTTTTCTCCCCATTCGCCTTCCCCTTCAGAGTTATCTCAAATTCTCATTTTTGTTTTCTCCTTCCTTTTCCCTTTTTGCTCTCATCTCTCCTCTGTCTCTCTGTCACACCCCTTCCTTCTCCATCTTCTTGTATGTCACGCTGTCTTTGCAATCCTCCCTCCTAATCACATCCATACCATTTTTTCCCTAGCTCTATTTTTTTTCTTTCAGCAGTCCCCTACTCCAGAACCTGGAGGTAGGCTGGCAACCTGACTCTCCCAGAGACAAAACAGTAACCAGAGACAGAGATATGAAGACAGAGCAGAGAGACAGAAAAGACGGATGTTGTATAGTATCGGCTATGACCTTCCTGGTGTTTGAATTTTGAACTGTTTGAAGGAAGTGGGGGATGGGGTTTAGAAAGTAGTCAAAGAAACGTAAGCAGAGCATAACAACATCACTAAAAGAAGTCCATTCCCTTTAATACTGCCAATCCATGTACAAATTAAGGTAAAACTTACCATAAACTTTACGTACTAGTCAATCGTAAAATATCTGCAGGAGCGAGTCAAACAAAAGTGGATTTACTGTGTCATTTCCTATTCATTTAAGCCATTTTACAGCTCACCAGAAATTTTTCTCATTGCTTTAAGTGTTGTCAAGGTATCAAACTACCAGGTATGAGTACCACTGACATGAGAACATACTACAGATAGCAGCGAACTCTATAACCTTTAAAGTACTTTGTTCTGTGTGTATCAAAAATGGAAACAACCGAGCAAGAGGGAGAGAGACAGGTCGTATTTCCTTCTGTCAAGATATCTTTAGAGTGGAACACCAAGAGGAATGTCTTTCTCTCTCTTTGAGTGTGTGTGTGTGTGTGTGTGTGTGGTATGAGACAGTTGAGAAACAAATGATAAAGCAGTCCTGACATGAGACTCCCTTCTTTCTTGCAATCATCCTTTTTATTTGATTGTACAAAAACTCACGACTGCCTTTGAATGAGGACTTATACTACTTCAGTGCTAATAGCAGTATTTAGCTGTTGCTTGTATCTACTGCAGGACTACAGTAATCACACCAAAGAACACCTCCTTGAAGATTATCGCTGCCGTCTGTAATTCTTTGCCTCACAGAACATCTGTCTAAACCAAGCCATTTTGGCAGGCATCCATACATATTACAGGTCAAATCCAAAACATGCTATTTGTCTCTTGAGTTACACAACATGACACAAGCTTCTTCTGCAGATATATACAAGATATCAATTTCAGTATCCCTGACTTACAGTGGACCCTGATATGTGTAACATCATCAGTCATATTCACTAAAATATCCCAGCTGTTTTCTTGTTGTTGCATGTCTACTGTCTGATTCTACTGGTGCAAATGCTAAAAATGTCCAGTTTAAATGTAATCCTTTAACCCCATCCAAAATAAAATCCTATTGTCACAGCTTGAACAAAAACATTTTAATCCAGAACAATGGAGCTACAATGGATTATGGAAATGAAAAGCTTTGGTGACAACATCTACTGTACAACATCTACTTTACTGGTGGTTTTAATTTTTGCTCCAGTCCAGTGACCATACATCCAGTTAACATGCAGCACAGCACACACAGCTGCTGCTACATCACCCTCATGGTTATCCAATTTCAAAGCTGTCATGTTTTGTTTATGGACAATACCAGTAAATAACGCCAAATTTTAGAGATGTTTAAAAGTTGTTGTTTTTTTCTAGTTTTGTCTCAGAGCTTTGGCAGAGACCTTTGCTCAGACAAGTTGTAGCCAGTTTGGTCTCCCATTAAAAGTCCTTTAGGTAGTCCAGTTGGTATCCAGAGATTATCCACTACCCAGATTGTATTAGAGGGATTATTTGGTCCCTGTGCCAAGACTTCTATTCCGTTAATGAGGACAAGGAGAGTGGGAGCATGATGTACACAGATGTATACTGTGGTAAATCTACCTGAGGGCAGCACCTGCTTGCATTTTGAAAGCAACCTAGAATCTAGGTGAGAGTATTTCATAACATCTCCCCCCAAAACTGACCTGGCTGACAATGTAAAATACAAAATTCTCATCTATCTCATTTATTTGTGGTAACTCTATAAATATCTGTCATTTATTTTTATTAGTTATTAGTATTATTGTTAGATGTTACGCACAGCAGGTGTAATCAATTTCACAATAACAAAAAACAACACCAGAAACAGACCTCCACCTACAGTGTCTGATAAATCTAAATTAAATGATGTTTCTCATACTCTACGGCTTGTACCTATAATTAAGTTATTCCTCTTCTCTTTCTACTCCACCTCCCCTCGCTAAAAGGCACAGCTAACCCTTGTAGATCAGTGTGTCAGCGTCTGTATCTGTGGTAACCATCTGCTTTCACACCGTTTACTTACACACACGCACCAGAGTCAGGTTGCATATCAACAATACTGCAATGTAAACCAATGGACACCTTAGGTGCACGCATACAGCACCCATACTGTTTACAGCAGTGTCTTAGCAAACAAACCAGGACCCTGGCAAAATGATTCTAAACAAAACACAGTATGTTTAATTTAATGAGAAATAAGTTTTGTCCAATCCGAGAGATAAACTTGAAAGTAAACCCATTAAAATAGAGTTTAGTCATCATGTAAAAAATGAAAAGCATAAAGCTTACACATATTTTCCCACTTGGAAGGCTTCTGAGAAGCTTTGCAGTCACAACTGGCTCATACTTTAAAGTAATATTCTTCAACAACTGATACGTTAAATATGAAACTATTACAAGCAGCGGCTGATGGCTTCTGTAAACAAAACAGACGAGCGGTTTATGTGTGTGCATTCTGTACAGTTTTTCTATGGTGGCGTATTTGTTTGTGTACACATGTCCTCCTGTCCTTCTGTCCAAAACAACAGTATGGGATTTTGGCGCTGCCAGCCAACCAGGTCACTAATGACCACATGGCCAATTAGTAGAGCTAAGCAACAACCAGATTCCCTCCTCCACAGCCTGAAACACAACAAGCATTCATCCAAATCATTGACGGGAAAAGTATGAGGAGAATCTGGGCTAAGGGGCCTCTGTAGCAGCGGACAAAGATGTGCATGATGTACATGGGGGATGGCTTTTTTTTTAGCCTGAAGAACCAGTTGTGCATATTTTTGTCTTTCACTGACTTCTGTCTTTCCCACCACTATACAAAAGAATGCTGCTCAATAAAGAAGAAAATGATCAAAGGAAAGACATAAGTACTATGACTTCTAAAACTACTGCTGCTGCTGCTGCTCGTACTACAACCACTGAATAGGGACGCAACGTATAATAATTTTCTTTGTCGATTAATCTGTTGATTACTACTCTATTAATTGTTTTGTCTCAGAAAAAGTCATAAAAATGGTGAGGTATGTTCATCATGATTTGCAAGAGCTTCAAGTATTGTCTTTATATGTCTTGTTTTGTCCAATCAACAGTCCATGAGCTAAAACAAATTCAGTACACATGTACTTGTACTTTTATGGTGCCTTTCTAGTCTTCCGACCACTCAAAGCGCTTTAACACTACACTGTCACATCCACCCATTCACACACTGGTGGCTGAAGCTACCATAAAAGGTGCCACCTGCTACTCAGTTTAAACATTCTCACACACTCATGGCACAGCCTTCAAGGGCAATCCTGGGTTCACTGTTTCGCCCAAGGACTTCAACGTGCAATCTGGAGGAGCTGGGAATCAAACTGCCCATCTTCCAACTAGTGGACAACCTGCTCTACCCCCTAAGCCACAGCCACCCCCGTATACAGTATACATATACATATAAAGCTGGGGAAAGCAGCAAATTGTCACATTCAAGGAGCTAAAACAGCAAATATTTGGTGTTTTTCGCTTGATATGTTACTTAAACAATCCAAATAAACACAATAATGTTGTTAATCATTGTGGTTAACAAGTCTTGAATATCAATGAAAATCCTCCTTTGATTAAAGCTGGTTGTTGGTTGTTTTTAGTTTGTTTAAGTTCCTATAAATGGTACACAGAACAATCTTTGTTGCACTGAAATTCTCTACCTATCATAAATTTATGATAGCACAAATGTGAGTGTACTTGACGTGTGTGAGCCAGAAGTCACGCGGACTGTGACAAACCCAAAAAGCAGCCATAACATCACTTGACAGGTCGGGCACCCCAATCTAGGACACTTGTTGTCATGGTAATGTGATGCAATCCTCTGTGTGATGATGAGTGTACACCTGAGAGTGTTTGTATTCGTCAAACAGAGTATGAAAATAGGTTGACATTAACACCTAAGTGTGAAGATAAAATCAACGTTGTGCTGCAAATATCACACATATTTGATAAGGACAAAGCTTGCATTTGGAAAGAACAGAGCACCGACCTTCTCATAGCAAGGCAGTGCTGAGACCTGCCAACATGTATACTGAACACTCATCTCAAACACAGTGAAAGCCAGTCCCATCATTTAGTCAGAGCCTACTCTTTAGACAGCCTAAAAACATGGGCAGCTCTCACACTCATCCGTCCTGTCTTGTCCCAGCAAAGCACGACAGAGCTGGTTACACCAAAAAGAGACCTTTGATTCCTTTATAGTACAGCAGCCACAGGGAACCCAGAGGGTCCCTAAGGAAACCCTTCATAGAGCCCATTAGCACAGAATGCAGCACAATGGATCTCTGGCATATTGCTGCTGCTGGGTGAACACCTCCCATCTCCACCTGTGTTGACTTGTCATGTCTTAACTTCCATCAAAATGATCCTAAGACAGAATTTAATCGGTTAACACTGATAAAAGCAATCAAAATCCTACCATGAATCTATTTTTTACTAACTGTATGGTGATTGTCTTGGTTACTTTTGTCAACTACTCAAAGAAGATGTATTTAAAGGCTAGAAAATATGATGAAATATGACGATCAGAAAGGAGGCAGGCAGGGAAATGAGGCAAGAGTTAAGCCGTCTATGAATACTAATGGAAATAATTTTTCAACAGAGGCTGGGCAGTATAGAGAAAAACAAAAAATATCATGATGCTTTAGACCAAATACTTCAATGCTGATATGGCAACAATATTGGAGGATTGACTATTGATGCTTTCACAAAACATTATGCAATGAGAACAGCTACAACAGTGTGGTAAATTCAGAAAATTGCATCACTTGCAGCCTTCAAAACCAGGAAACCTCAACACACAATATGATATCTAGTCTTGATACCAATCCATAGCCCAGCCCTGCATTCAGCTGTATTTTTTACAGAACTACAAATTGCTGATGCATAGGGCAACAACTGCAACAAACTTTATGACAAAGGAAGTGCTTGCAAATTATAACAACATATGCCAACCACAGGCAAACTTCGTTAACAAAGATGAACAGAGGTCAGTTAAAATTTCAAATTAACCAAAAACAATATAATGAAATTATCCAATATATTTACAAGGGGTTGACAAATGGTACTAAATTTGAATCCACTGCACATCTTTGCAGCATTGTTTGTGATAGTAATTTAGTTGCATCAAAGTTAAAATATTTTCTAATGAAGTGTTATTTTGTCTACTTCTTAAACTCAGGGATGGATCAGTCGCAGTTACCTTGGGAAGGTATGCAGCATTTCGTATCCTGTCCACCATCTCCTGACCCTCAGGGTGCACAGCAGCCACATGGGACCACATTCTTTCCCAGGTTACACTCTCGATGGGAAAACCTGTCCTGTTCACATAAAAAAGAACCCCTCCATCCTTCTCCTCTTCGTCTCCAGGGGACCGGGGGCTGTTGTTAGGGGGGGAGGCGGAGGATTCCTCCTTGGTGCTGCAGCGGAGGAGACAGTGCGAGCTGGTGCTCTTGGACCGGCCATGTCTGCTCAGCTTAGCCGAGGTGGTGCCGGTCCGGCTTGGGGAGTTGGGTCCGGTCATTGATCCCAAGAGGGTGAGGAGGAGGAGGAGGAGGAGGAGGAGGAGGAGGAGGAGGAAAAGTTAGGGCAGGTAATCCTCCTCCAGCTACAAGAGCCTCTTCTTGTTTTTCAGTGGTTGACAGTACATGTTGATCTTTCACTGCAAACCTGGCAGGGTAAAAATAGAAAACATATAAATTTTACCAGAAGAAATTTTGCATTCTTAACTCAGGTTTGCAATGCAGTAAGAAATAAACCTTTTGGAATAGGTCTACAGTATGGGTGAATTTCTGTACTGCAAGGTTCAGTTCAAAAAAAAAAAAAAATGTGTGAGATACAGTTGTGTTTTTATGAGGTGTTTCCCGTGAGGGTACACCCAAAGGATATCTGTGCCTCTCCTATTTTGGAAGAGGAATGATGATGCTACAGTGGAGTATGAATCCACAAATCCCTATAGGGAAGAAAACCCTACCTAAAGTACAAATAGTCGACCATGAGTGATTTCTTCCATAAATATCCTACAATATATGTAAAAATCCATGAATGTGGCAGCAAAATCTAAATAAAAAATGTGCAGAGAGATAAGAGGCACAAAATGACCCATGGTACATCCTGTGTAAACTTAACACATTAGATGGACAAAATCTTACTTAACATTTTAAATTCAACATTAAGAATCATACAAGTGACTTAGAGTACAAAAGATGTCAGATACACGACAAAGTACAACAATGTTTTCATAAAATCGACAAGGAAATGCGAACACTGTATGAGTAACGTTATTATACAGAACCAAGAGCTCTATAAACTGAATTCATGAGTATTAAAGACATGCTAGTTTCTTTTAAAAGCAGCCTAGCTTACATTACGTTAACAACATATACAAAATTTAAGAAACAACTTATTTTTAACGACAATGTCTACAAACCTCACAAGTGAGCACCACAGACAGAAGTTGACATCGAAATCAGGGATTTTTCGTTAGAGTGCATCCGCTGAAATATCCCAACCGTTACTAATTCAAACGTACCGTATTTTCCACCACTGGAGCTCCAATTGCAGATAACCGACAGGCCCTCCAATTTAAAAGGCATTTGACTCGGAAAAAACACAGTGAGACGAGGTAGGTCCCATTCATAGCAAGGCGGCGTTGTCCACCACAAGATGAGAAGTCTTGTTTTGGTCTGAGGCTTTGTAACTTCACCCCTTCTTGTATGTGTCAAGCTACCAAGAGCTAACGACAATTGGACTGGGGATGCGGTAAGTTCCACTTCAAAGTAAAAGCAGCATGTGTGTCGATGTTGCGTGTTTGTATAATAAATAGCACGAGTCGTTGCAGCATACTCATAAACCCACTGCGGATTCGTTTTTGATAAGTTCACGCATGTAAGTAAAATTTTCTCCCGAGAACTTTAATCAATCGAATCCCGCTCTTGTCGGAGCTTTTTTATTTTGAAAATATCAACCGGAAGTCCTTCTGTTTCGCTAGCTAGCTAACAATATCCCTCACAACACTGCGGGGGCCGTTGCCTCCCACCTCCCCAGTCCGGGAAAATGACCTCCAGTGTGCATTCCTCTCCGTCAGCAGCCTGCACGGCGCCTCGGTAGCAACTATCTCCCCATAAAATCCGACTTCATGTTGATAAAAAGGTTCCTTCAATCCCTTACATGATTAAATCATTGGGGATAAAACGGACCCACTAGCTACCTGCTGTTTTCCCTGTATCCCTCCGTCGCTCGTATCCCCGGCAGCCACCAACGTTTGGCGGCCTCTCATTGGTCGAGCCAACAAAGAGGGGTGGGTCGGAGAACACGGTCTACCATATATGGAACTGACGGCTCTCTGTGATTGGTTGATTTTGACAGACGAAGGCGTCAACAAGTGATATATCTGCAACAAATGGGATTTTCTGCCTCTTGTTGCAACTGTTGATTTTGCACATTTTGTACATTTTCAGGTGCTTCACCTTTCTCAGAGAAGAAAAGAATAGAGTACCATAAAATTACCATCACAACAAAAGTCATAAAATACAGACAGCATATCAGTTTTAATAATAGCTCCAAATATAGTTGTAAACACATGATACTACAGGGGGGGGGGGTGATAATGTTCATCTCATTGCATATAAAGCAACAACAGGTGAAACATGCTTAAAAAAAGTTGCTAATAAATTGAAATAACAATAAATCCTTGAACTACAACTCAATGGTATCTACATTACAGTACAATAATGTGCCTGACAGCAAGGCCATTGAGCGATATGTATCATACTTACATGGCAATCAGCTATATGAATGTTGGAGCTAATACCTGGAAACTGTGGTTGGAACTATAACTTAACCCACAACTCCCCCCTCTGGCCTTCTGGATAAAAAGCTTTTTACAGCAAATCAAAAAAGCACTTGGCTATGTTAAAAGTAACACTGCAACGTTAAAATAACAGTGGGATGCAGTTGTGCAGCTGTATTAAAACAATTAACACTGCAGTTAGAGCATGAAGATTAAATATAAAGTAGACATGGACAATTTCCCCACAAGGAAAGTACCACTAAAACAAAGTGAAATACTTCATTTTCATACATGATAAAAAAAAAAATTTAAAAAAAAATTTTAAAAAATGTAGTGACAGAGGAGGAATGAGGTTTCACAGTACTGTAGGTCACTGCATCCTCATCACCTCAAACCTACACAAAGGGACACAATACAACACACAGAAAAGGATGCATTTATATTTGCAGCTCACTGGTTGATACTTTTGAATCTCTGTTTCATTCTGTTGTGGTGCAGCTGCATGAACATTCTTCCCTTTTCTTCTTATTGCGGAAGAAAATTAGGCTCAGTTATATTTTAAAGATCACATACAAACACCACTGAGTGTAACTTTGTACTGTATGTAGTATGTAATCTCAACATCTCCTGACTGGTTTCTGTAGAAGACTGAGTCACTGCAGGGTTTAAGCTCAGCCCATGGACAAATACAGTCTGATTACATTTGGTTTAAGGTTTTCTCCACCCAAAGCATCTAACAAGTCAGCGAATGCAGATATTGCTAGGGCACTATAAAAGTACCTTTACTTCTCTTCCATCTGACAAATGCCACAGCAGTTATAAACTGGCAGCCACAATGATGTACCAACAAACAGTCTAAATTGAAGGAAAAAAATTTTGGCTGCAGTTTTTTTGGATGTTCTATTCAACATCCTGTAGCTAAATGAGTATTGCATGTGCTCTACACAAATGTTTTGTGCATCACTTCCTTATAGTGACAGTTTTCCTCTTTTGTGTATATCAGGTTTGACTTTCCTCCTGTCAACCAGTCATCACTCTGACATGAGCTTGCTCTTTTATAACAGGATATAACTGAACAGAGACGGATGGTAAATGTCAAAAATGAAGAGATGGACAAAAAAAAAAATACTTTTTTAAAATTTATGTATTTATTTTGTTTTTTTACAAATTACAAATACTTGTATCCATTTATCAAAAAAAAACTGATTCCCCAAAGTTGAAATCATTAAAAAAAAAGAAAAAAGTACAGACAAATAGAATGCAATGATTTAACTTAATGAAACTACACATATAAGAGATTATAACATGTCAGTCCATAAAAAATTCTGTACAGTTGCAGTGGAATGACATATGAAAAAGTACTGAAGATGCTAACTGAAATCTATTACTTGAAGAAGCCCTTAAATGCCCGCTTCAGGACGTTTCCTGTATGAACAAACTAATATCTCACAGTGTTCAGATGGGATTTTGGCCCATTCTTCCACACAGAAAGTCTTTAACTTCTGAAGATTTTGGGGGCGAATTTGTGAATCTTGAGAGCAAAAAATCCACTTTAAAAGCTTCAACAATTAGTGTCATCAGTTTACAAATGCTCACTGAGTGTTGTTACAGCAAAAGGTGGTGTAAGGTGGTGCAGTCTGAACAATAAATACATTTTCTTTGTATGTATTCAATGGAATAAAGGTCAAAAAAGATTTGCAAATCACTGTATTGTGTTTTTATTTACATTTTTACACAGCTCCCCAAGTTTTTTAGAATCAGGGTTGTACAAAATACTGGTAGAAGAAAATACATTTATTAAAATACAAGTAATTTGTATTTTAAAAATACAGAAAATGCATTATTATATAGCCTACAAACTGTTATGATCATATTTAGGCATTTATGAACTTCAGTATGGGTGTGGTCTGACCTTACTCACATCACTTAAAGTATTTTGTTACAAATTACAATTTAAATTTCTCTGTTTTGCAAAATACACATGACAAAACACTCAAAAGTTGTACAACAGGTATTTTAAATACATTTAATTGAAATACTGTCCATCTCTGCATATGAAATAATTACATGCAACAAATGGCAGGACTGCATGCTTAAAAGGGATAAAACAGATTTAACACATAAAAAAAGCAGTAAACACTCTAAATCTGCATCAATCACTGAGCACAATCAAGTGCCAGACAGCCAGCTCATATATTATGGTTCATCACTACAGTGTTAGTTAACCTCTTACACCACCTGCTGGACAAAAAGCATTTTGCAGTACTAAATGTGAAAATGAAATGTGTACTAAAATACAAACACTACAACGTTAAAATACTGGAATAAAACAACTGGATGCAAATGTGGAAAAACAGTCTACATTGCATACTGTAAATAAACAAGCAAGAGCATCAGGATCACATATTTTAGACAATATTTTCTTGACGATTTGATTACATAGCAAATTCTGTGCAGAGTATGTTTTACACACTGAAACATAATGGGTGAATTCTGGTAAGCTTTGAGCAGTCATGTAAGGAATGTAAAATATGTAATATGATGATTTTTCATTCAGCTGATATTAGCTTAGAGGTTGTTGAGATCTGCAGATGAAACATTCACACTGCTGTAGGTCACCACATCACCTCCATCATCATCATCATCATCATCATCATCACCCTTACCCCGAACCTGGGAAATGAGAGGGAAACAACACAAAAACTGACACAACAGAACATGATAGAGCGCAACATGGCGACGCTACAGATTACAAATCTTACCTGGGCTTTCCTGTTGGTGTTCCTGGTGTAGCTGATGGAGGCATAGAAAACATCATCTGCAGGATCAGCCTACACAGAGGAGATATAATGAGCAAGCAGTAAGGTGGAGCTATACTGACTGTATCCCAGCCTATTTTAACATTTTTAACTCTATCACGTCTGCCAAAGAGTCATGTGTCTTTCAAATAATGTCTCAAAATGTTTATTTTTTTGGTGGAGATTTAACTAGAGTTACAATCACAGTGAATTATGTATTTATAATTGTGTAAATATTGTATAAACCTATGATTTTTCAGTTTTTAAACTCACAACGTTGTCGTCCATGTTTGCTGAAAAGACAAAAGAGAGGTTTGAATTTAGTTTCCACATGAAAAATAACGGGTTATCAAAAAATCTTGAGGATAAAATCTGTGTATATTCTCACCTTTAGTTCTCCTCCATCTCATGACTGCAACAACAGTTACCAGGAGTGCTGCTACACCCACAGGCACAAGGACGTACCACCACCAGTCTGGAATGAAAATGAAAACATAACATATTTGGCTGCAGCTTCCTGTTCTGCTCAAGAGCTGTTTTTTTTTTTAGCAAAGCTCCTTCTTCTTTTGTTTTTAAAGAAAGCTATTTGCAAAAACTGCACACATGAGTTATATGTCACATATCCAGTGTCTAACATTGTGTGTCTGACATTCGTTCTTTTGACGGCTGATTATTGTAATTTAAATCCTAAAATATTATGCAACTGTAGAACTGAAGGAAATGCAATAGCCAACTATTTGCACAAACATGGCAGCATTCAGATGAATGTGCTCTTAAGTTTGTATAGACCTTGTTTCTGTTCTTACCTGAGAAAAAATCCCAAATAAGAAAATATTGGTGAGTGTTAGAATCCTCTTGAAAACTGGGCAGGTGGGTTTTAAGAAGAAATTTCCTCTCAAAAACAGCTGGTCAGTGAGGCCAACCCCCCAACCCCATTGTTCCTGTCATTGTTGATTCAGTCGTTGCTATTTTTGCATCTAATTTACTAGTCAGTAATAAAAACCGGCATGTTTTCCATCTGCAGTAACTAAACAAGTAAGAATGGTGTCATCTTAAAACTTAAAATCCATCCAATAAACAATGTAATGTATAAACAGCTCATTATGTTCTCACCTGGTTTCTCACCTGAGGACTGAGGAGGGCTGAAGGTGAACTGATGAACTTCTTCAGTGTGACCATCTGTCACTTCACACTTCAATTCGTAGTCATTGAATGTAATAAAATGAGAATCTGTAAAGGTCACACTGGCCGAGCAGTAAGACTGTGATGTCTTCGAGTCTTTACCCACACCCTTAAACTGCCACATCACTGTGTGTGCACAGTGTTCAGACGTGAACACAGAGCAGTTGAATGTGATCTTATTGTGGTCCTTCTGTTCAGTCACTGGCACGTGTGCATTTAACTGCATCACTGTAACTGTAATGTTTCAGTATATTGATAAAAGAAAACAGAAAACATTATGATGTAAATACTCACTGGTAACAACAGAGAGAAAAACCACAGAGTCCTCACTTTGTTTTTTTCCTGATATATTGAACTGCTGACAGTTAAACTGACCAGCATCCTCATCTGTGACCGTCTTTATAACCAAAGAACAGTTCTTCGTAACTCTCAGTCTGTCTGATTCATCTTCGGCAGTTTCACCAATCTGCCCATGTTTGATCAGCTCCTCTGCTCGTGTGCTTCTTGAACCAGTGAAAAGCCATGTGGTGTTTTCACAGTGATGCTTATTCTTTATCATA